ATTCCATCCGCGTACCCCCCCGGAGGTCCCGTAGACAGTATACTCTGCCGAGCACCCCATCATGATTCCAAGACTGCCGAAATAAAACATCATCGTTGTCACCTCAACTACTCCAATTCCCCAGGAAGGAAGGCCAAACACAGCGCTACGTTGGCATTTTATTTCAGCTACTCCAATTCCCCTTCATGGCGACATACCAAGCGGACCAAACTACATCGATGGTTCGAATGATCATCTCAACATTTTCAGGGAAAAACAAACATCAACATACCAACTCTAGCTGAAGCACAGCTGTGCTCTCCCGCGACATCTGGCCTACAATTCGAACAACAAGGAACGACGTTGATACGATCAAAACACGGTAGCGACTGTTGAGGGGAGGTCGTCAGAGACATGCACGTTCACTAACATCAGGTTAACGCCACATTGGATGCCCTCCCGTAGTGTGCGACCACACACAAGAAAACTCAAATTGCTACCGGTATTCTCTGCTACAGGTACCAACCGGATTTATTTGTCGGTCTCAGCGGGGGTCTTCTCTCCATTGCCAAGTGGACTCCGGCTCCTCCCACCCACCCGCAAAAACCCCTGCTGCTGCTCGCCACCCTGGTGAGCGCGCCGACTACAACGACAAATGCCCACGCTGCCCCCCCTATATCTGGAAGCGCGTTGGCGGAGATCTGTGAGTGCAGCTCCCCCCTTCATCTGGAGAACCGCCCAACTGCAAACCCTGCGCTGCCCCCCCTTCATCTGGAGGCGCGGAGGTGAAGAAATGTTGCCCTCCCCTACATCTGGAGGGCGTTGACCCGCGTTGCCCCCCCTACATCTGGAGGCGCGCCGGCGAAGCAAATTTTTCCTCCCCTACACCTGGAGAGCGTGGGCCCGCGTCGCCCTCCCTACATGTGGGGGCGCGCTGGTGACGAAAAGCTGCCCTCCCCTACATCTGGAGAGCGTGGGCCCGCGTCGCCCTCCCTACATGTAGGGGCGCGCTGGTGAAGAAAAGTTGCCCTCCCCTACATTTGGAGAGCGTTGACCCGTGCTGCCCTATCTACATATGGAGGTGCACGGGTAAGGAACTACTGCCCCCCACGTCTGGGGTGCGTCGGCTGGCGCTGCCCCCCCTACACCTGGAGGCGCGCTGTTGTGTAACCACTGCTGTACGTCCCTCCCCTACATCTGGAGGGCGTATACTGATGCCCTCCTCCCATTTTTCTGAAGAGAACACCTGTGAGATATATGCGCTACCCCCCCCACATCTGGGGGTGCGTGTTGATACCCTCCCCTACATCTGGAGAGCACACCTACGAAAATTTTCGCTACCCCCCCCTACGTCTGGGAGTGCGTGTCAGTGTCAGTGCCTTCCCCTACATCTGGAAAGCACAGGTTTCAAGAACTCAAGTCGCCCCCCCTAAATCTGGGGGCGTGGAGTGTTGGGGCTGGGTATAGTGGGTTTCCTAATTACAAGGCTTCGCACGCAACGTCTAGCTCATCCTGCGACATTTCGGCCGCTATTACCGCTTCCTCTTCTTCCATTGGGCAACGGTCCTTTTTGTGGCAGAATCCCGTGCAAACCTCGTANCCCTACATCTGGAAAGCACAGGTTTCAAGAACTCAAGTCGCCCCCCCTAAATCTGGGGGCGTGGAGTGTTGGGGCTGGGTATAGTGGGTTTCCTAATTACAAGGCTTCGCACGCAACGTCTAGCTCATCCTGCGACATTTCGGCCGCTATTACCGCTTCCTCTTCTTCCATTGGGCAACGGTCCTTTTTGTGGCCGAATCCCGTGCAAACCTCGTACCGGATAACGTCGCTTTCCTTTGTTGGGCATTCCGCGATCCGACGCCCCATCTTTCCGCATCGGAAGCACCGGACGCGTGCCCGTTTCTCCGCCCCACCCCCACCGCTCTCGTTGCCGTTGCCTTTGCCGTTGCTGTTTCCCTTGCGGCGGGCGCGGTTGTGATGAGAGCCTGTTCCTCTGCCCTCGTGTGGCTTTCCTCCGCCTCCTGCTGGCTCCTCGGGGACCAGACCCGCTGACCCAGCCGTCATTCCGAGCGCTGGGGCCCACAGTCTCAGGCAGGTTCCCTGCGGCGGAACCCCTCCCGGTTCCCTCCGGGATTCCAACCGCACCCCCCACGGCGCCCCCGTCCACCGCGGCGCCGTGTGACCCTCCTCCTCCTCCGTCTCGCGTGGGCTGCGTGGGCAGAAGGCTCTCGAAGCGACTGAGCAGCCGCTCCATCCTCCCTCTGCCTTGGCCTGCTGTTCTGAAGGCTCTCGAAGCGACTGAGCAGCCGCTCCATCCTCCCCTCTGCCTTGGCCTGCTGTTCTTCAAAGCGCGCCGTCAGCGTGCTCTCCACTTCTCCAAGTTTAGCAGCGAGCTCCTCCTGCGAGACTCCTCCCGACATGTTGCTGGCACGGGCTCTTTCGTTTCCTTGCAAGGACGATGGAGATAGAAAGAAAACTCTAGAGTGTTGACCACTCCTAAAGCCGGAGTGATTGCCGGGTATGCCCGTATTTGTGTCCAGTGACTAGAAAGTCTCGTTGATTGCTTGTATTAGATCCGCAGGACAAACGCACGACAAACAGAGGAGAAAGAGAGTGCCCCACACAGGCTGACGCAGCATGGGGGCACCGCAGACTCATCCAAGTCTACTACAACAGGTACCACAGCGGGTCCCTTCATGTACGGAACACAGAACCGTTCCTCAGATCCTTCCTACAAATGGACACACACGAACAGATGATGCCTGTTTACCCGCAGACAACGCTCATGGTGGCCATCGTCCACTTCAACCCGCAGACACACGTGGGGGGTGGCAGGGTGCACGTGACGGAATCATGGATCTTTGCATCTGAGGACATAGCACATGACTGCGATTTCCACCTGCACGGCGTGGCCAGGATGGCGGACCACTACCTGCGTGGAGATGGGAGCGAAGCAACAGCTGCCGCCCGGAAAGAAGGCAGGACGCCTCGGATTCACATGTTTACCGATGGGTGCGGGAAGCAGTACAAAGGAAGGCGGAATTTCCGCTTTTTGACCGACAGCGTCCGGCAAATTGGCTTCTTCATCGACCATCACTTCGCGGCCACATCTCACTTCAAAGATTGCCATGATGGGATCGGCGGAGTCGCAAAGAACGCCATGAACAGGAGGGAGAGATTTGGCAAGCGAATCATGGGGGCGGACGGGTTGGTCAGCTTTTTGCGAAGCTTCTTTCGGGAGAAGGCAGGCAGCGAGGGGGGGGTACTTCGCGAAGTGGTCTCCATACCGCATGCGGAGGGTGCACGTCGAGTTTATCGGTAAGAAGGAGATCTATCGGCCAAACTCGATCCCGGAAGGCGTAGAGGGTACACGAGAGATGTACCACTTTGCGGGAGCAAACACTCCCAAGTGGGATCGGTCCACCTCAACCAAGGGACGCGAAGATGACTGTAAGCTCGTGCTGAAGAGCGAGGGGCAGGGTCAGTTGTCGAGTCTAGAGGAGCCGGTTGCGGGAAGTCAAGGTGCTGGGTGCAGTAGCGAGCAGATGGAAGGGTCAGGGGGCTGGGTTGCAAGCTCCGATATCGGGGGAGGAAGACGTGACTTGCAGGAAGGTGGAACGGACCTACAGTCTCAGGACTCGTTTGGCGTCGTGCTTCTGCTCGGCGTGCCGGTGTTCTGAGTATGAGCAGTGCTACGTTAGCAAGACGTACCCCCGTCTCGTTCCCGCAATGGAGGATGGCGTAGTGAAGGAAACGGTGATCATGGACACTGGAGTAGCGCCCGCAGACGAAGATGCCTCCGAGGGGATCAAGTTCCCGCGATACAAGAAGGAATGCGTAAAGAAGAGAATGACTGGGACACAGTGGCAGGACGGCGACTCTGCTACTGCATCAAAGTTTTGGGAAGAGCTTGGAAGGAAGGAAGAGCCCAGTATTTTTTCCCGTTTCGGGAGGTGGGCTGACATTTAAGTGGCATGCTTCTTGTATTTGCTCGTGGAGCAGTGTTGGGCTTCAGAGCCCGTTTGAGGTCGAACTTAGGGGTGTGGGGGGGGGGCGGTTTCAGAGAGGATATATATGTAGANTTGGGCTTCAGAGCCCGTTTGAGGTCGAACTTAGGGGTGTGGGGGGGGGCGGTTCCAGAGAGGATATGTAAAATATCTTGAAATATTTTTGATTTTCTTGGCAAGGCGATGCTGTTCAATGTGTACCTGTATCTCAAAGGCAAAATCGAATGAAAACAAACGACCGCGGATTCGTAATCCCCACCCAAAAATTACCCTAACCTGAAATTGTCAGATCAATCTGAACACTTTTCAAAACCGGGGATGTTTCAGGCCCATCCCCGGGTTTTTGCGTTTGCCGCCTCTTTGTCCTGTTTGCTCCGTTACTCCCATGCCCTCGTGCGTAGTGCCTGGTTGGTGCTGGTACGTTACCCTTTGATTTTTCTTTAGGCGGGTGTGGGAAGCGTCCTCCTTTGTTTTTTTGTTTTTTTATTTTGATGGGTGTCCGAGGGCTCTTTTCTCGAACGGTCGGTGCGGTACCTGTTATTTCTTTTTATCATTTTGTTTGCTTTTTCCGAGTGGATTAGACTATACCCTATTTCTGTTTTGTTTCCCCCGGCGTCGTATGTGCCGGGTTTTGAGACCGCGGGCTCCCCATTTTTGTGGACTAGTCCATTATTAAAGAGGTAATGTGAGCAACAACAACAACAACAACTACCCCAGTGGTCTAGAGGGTGACCTCGCAGCCTGCTAAGGGCCAGGTCATGGGCTCGAGTCCCGATAGAGTGAGATTTTTCTTACTAATTTAATCCTGGTCTCCGTTGGAAGCAATGCGCTGCAAAGCGCGTTTATTGTAAACTTGATCGACTTCATATGTCGCGAGGGAAGGGATTGCTGTACCCTTCTCGCGAAAAAAATATCTCAGGAAGGAACCGCAGGAGGGGGTCCAACCCCCCTCTCCTATGTGACCCCGGTTGGGTCGTATGGCTGGTAGAAATGGAGGATAGGGGCCAGGGGGGCAGACGACAGAGATCAACGATGGGAGAAAACAAAAAAAAATGGAGTAAAAAAAAGAATAACTACCCGGAGGTAGAATAAAGTGCCGGCCCGCACTTAAGAACCTCCTATATTGGGCGAGGCTCAGTTGTTATTGGCTGCCCCAACACGAGCACCAGTTCTTATTTGCCAAGTTCTTATTTCGTCGGCCATTCTTCTCCAGAAAGGGGCGTTCTTGTTCTTACAGTATTTTAACATCATTTGCTATATTGTCGACTGTCAACCATGAGCAACACTAGTAATGCTGTCGACACCAGAAAATACCAAGGCATGGATGGAGCAGCAACTGTCAACCTTCTTGGTCCACAAGGGTGACGTTGGTCCTGCGTACCCTTCCTGATCTACTAATGCTCTCAAGCAAAACACAGGAGCCTACAGCCGCATCCGAATCTCCGCTGTACTTGTCTAAGGCTGCTGTTTGGCGAAGAGGCCCTTCTTTACGTCATCGGCTGCCGCCGCGACCAATTCCTTCTCGTGCTTGGCCCACTTCACTATATTTCTGTAGGGAATCTTGAAGACAACAACCCAGAGGGACTCATCAGAGTCTGGATTTTTTTTTTAGCTGTGAAGACAACAACTCACAATATTGCGAAGCCACGCACCAACCCCAAACGTCGCCAACGCTTTCCCTTTCTCCCCCACCTCCACCAACCCCTTGCCCATGTCCATCACGGCCGTTGGTCAAATAACGTTACAGGGGCTAAGCATGCCAACAAATCCGCAGGCCCGACGAAATGGCTCCAAGATCACAGCTCCAACGCCGTCGCCGACGAGCCGTTCTACACCGCGTGTGCCCACGGCGTGGACCTGCCTGTGTCAATACATCAAGGGGTGAGGCAACGGTTCTTGGAGGGTGGGGCACATGGGGTGATCAACCACTTCGATAGCGAGTTGGACTCGAGGTGGCGTATGGAAGCGGATCTGCTCCTGGTGCGCTACGACCGTGCGCAACTTGTCCCGGCAATCAAAGGGCGCGAGCAGTCGGGAAGGACGGACAAGATTGGGGGGTGCACTCTCTCTTTCAACCCGACATCGACGGACCCAATCCCCCCGTCGCAGTACCAATCATGGCTTCGTGACAACCAGAAGGCAGCTCGAGATGGTATCGCCGCGCACCTCGCCATGGACATACTAGACGTCAAGAGGTGGACCGGAGACTGCACGCCCAAGGGAAATGTGGCGTTTTACGGTGTCGGGGGCGAGGCTGGGTTGAAAACAACTCATGCCGCTGATCCCGCGGTCAGCTCCGGGGGGGGCGTACCGGGAGGACCGTCCACATCACCAGAGGTACCGGTGCCGGTCGACGGCGTCGAAAGTAGCACCATGCGCTCTGGTGGGGACGGGACCGAGGAGGGCGGATTTCCAACGCTTGCGGAAGAGGACCCTCTTCTCCACTACCGAAGGGGCGCGGGCCGTTCGGTACAACGAGAACGTGGCCCCAACATCGGCGAGGCCGAGCTGTCTCTCGTCCACTTCATCGTGTGGGCTAAGAAGTATTGGGGGCTGAATTTCGAAAACTGGCTGGTTACTTCGGATCCGTATCGACCTCGAACGGTTGAGGAAGGATGTGCACCTACGGGCCGTCTTCCAAGACAGGGCTCTCAACCGCCCTCCGCCCACGGCCCTCAGCAGGCCAACGGGAGAGACCGCCGCCGAGCTCACCGCTGTGATGATGTCGGCCGCTGCGGAGATCGCGCCGCTGGCGAGGAGCGCACGAGGGAAGGGAGGATGGTACACGAGCGAAGCGCAGCACGAGATTTCCGAAGCGTCTAGGGAGATAAGAGTGGCCCAACAGCAGCTGCGCGGGGCCTCAAAGAACAGCGACTTCGAGACGACCCTGAAGGCGAAGCTCAAGGCGGCGCGGAAGAAACGCAGCAGCGCGAGGTGGAGAGCACTGGAAAAGTTCTTCGAGGGCTATGTGAGGCAGCTCGAGAAGAAGAGCCGTGAGGGGGACCAGGCGGGTTTCTACAGGCACCTGAAGATGATCGACGTCGAAGGTAAGAGGCCACTTACCTCCCAGAACATGAAGGACGAGGACAGTAAGGTCCTTCGGGACCCCACGCTTACCCGCCAGCGGTGGGCGCGGTGGTTCCACAAGCTCCTTAACACCAAGTCGCCGACCATCGACCTGCATGCGACCGACAGAGTCAAGCAGTGGCCCACGTGCGTTCCGCTCGACGACATCCCGTCTCTATTCGAGGTTGAGGAGGCGGTGCGGGGAATGGCCAACAGGAAGGCCGTCGGGCCGGACGACCTACCGGCTGAGCTGATCAAGCTGTTCCTGGATGGAGACCGAGGACCTCGAACGGTTGAGGAAGGATGTGCACCTACGGGCCGTCTTCCAAGACCGGGCTCTCAACCGCCCTCCGCCCACGGCCCTCAGCAGGCCAACGGGAGAGACCGCCGCCGAGCTCACCGCTGTGGTGATGTCGGCCGCTGCGGAGATCGCGCCGCTGGCGAGGAGCGCACGAGGGAAGGGAGGATGGTACACGAGCGAAGCGCAGCACGAGATTTCCGAAGCGTCTAGGAAGATAAGAGTGGCCCGA